GGAGTGAGTCGGGGTTTTTTTTCCATCTTTTTTTTACCGAGTGCAGCAGCGCATTCAGCACAAACAAAGAAGCTTAGTTTTTCGCAGTTTGACTATCTCATAAAACTCTGCTTTCTAGTCTGGGAACGAGGCCGTCAGCTCGCAGCTTCTGGAGTGGCGAAACTAACCGAACAAATCGCCTCTAAATCATCTGGTGAATGAATTATCTGATGTGCACAACGTTCGCTTGCTCTTTAGTAAATAAATCAAAGCCATTTTCTTTATCTTCATTTCAACCGCTGAGGACAGACTGGAAAAAAACCAAGATGCTCCTTCCTCTTCAGATGCACGTCTGGTCTGTGTCCCGGTCTGAACATAGTGAGTCCAGCTGGAGGCATTGGGCGCTTTTTTGCTGCTCAAAATGCATTCGGTGTGAACGTAGAATGAGCCTGTCCTCTCGCTTGTTGACTACTGCAATAAGCACCAGCCCCCAGTGACAYTGAACAATATAAAGAGAAAGAGAGTCAGTGACCAATGCAATATTTAAAATTACATTTCTGCTAGTTTTACTTGAAAACAACAAACATGTTTTCATTTATGGCAGCATGTTCACCTACAGTCCACAGAACAGCACATTTTATTGTACAGGTGTTTTTGCTTATAAATAGAATGCATTATTTTATATTCTCATTGACAGATATCACAGTGAAAAATAAAATAAAATACTGACAGCTTGGAGTCCAACAGCCAATGCTCACAGATAGTTGAAGGATGGAAGTATGCATCCTTAATAGTGGTTTAATTTTTCCATTAGTGCAGTCTGCAATCTTATCCAGTCTAAGCTGATCACTTATGACATTTCTAACAGTTAGAAACCTAAAAAAATAAAACATACACTAATGCCTTTGTTCTTCTTTGTTCTTGTCCTCATCATCTGCAACAGGTTAGTCTGTTTTTTTATTTTTTATTTTTTAGTGAAATGCTTGTTTTTTTTCTGTTCTGGTTTTAAATATGCATGTTTTGCATCCTTTGTTTTTAAGTACTCATAGGTCATCCAGCCAGATTATCTGAACCAAGTCAGAAATGCTCTGGAAGAATAGAAATATACAACAAAGACACCTGGGGGACAGTCTGTGATAATGGCTGGGACATAAATGATGCTGAGGTGGTCTGCAGACAGTTAGGCTGTGGTCCACCATTGAATGCTCCTTCATTTGACCACTTTGGTGAAAGTACTGGACCAATCTGGCTTGAAGATGTGAATTGYATAGGAAATGAAAGTTTTCTTTCTGAGTGTTCACACAGGGGATTTGGTACACATAACTGTGGACACCATGAGGATGTTCGTGTGACTTGTGCAGGTAAGACTGTATTTTGTAWATGTTTGAAATGTATCTTGCCAGTAATTTTATATTAATTTTGTTCTGTAAAACTTGGTACGTATCATGAAAAAAAAAAACACGCTTGAATGTGTGTGTGTGTGTGCGCTTGTGTGCATGCGTGCGTGCGTGCGTGCTTGTTTTTACTACAGAGTGAGGACCATTTGTGACATAGTTACTATCAAAGTGAGATCTTTGATGTAAAGCAAGGACCTCTTCATTGTCCTCACTTTATTTGCAGCTCTACTGCATTTTATTACGTTTGGAGTTATGGTGTGAATGAAGTTTTGGTTCAGGTTAAGGTTACGTCCAGTCCTGGGCCACTGRGTCATATCTTTATGGGAAGTGCATGGTGGAGTCAGCTGTTCCAGTTGGAGACAGCCTGTTGATTTGTATTTGCTGTGTAAGATGTAGTGGAATATGACTGGCATATTCCAGTAAGTGTAGGCRTACTGTTTGAGTAGAACTCAGCCAGTAYATTGAGTGTTTGYCATGTGCTGCACTTWCATAGGGYGGGAGGAAGGTTCAGAGAAGGGAGGTTTAGATGGARTACAGTGAAAATTAAGGGAGGGGTCAGGAATGGTTGGGTGTGTGGTCTGGTTGGTTTAAATAGGATATTTGCAATGGGGTTAATCTAATGATTAGATTATTGTTTAGAATTCCTTCTAGTGACTGTTTACAGTTCACCGAGATTAGTCTTAGTTTTGTTTTCTGGTTTATATGTACATTTACTGTACTTGCCTTTCTGCCTTCATGTTTCTTCTGAATGCTCGGAGGCGGACAGAACAGGCATCAGTCCCCGACTGGGCCGTCTTATGAAAGAGGCTCTGGAGTGAGAGCTGTCTGGCTTTCGAAAAAATTTCTTGGCAAACAACTTCTTCCTAAATCCACAATTTTCATGATACACAGACAAATTATGCATCAAAACATACAACAACAACAAATTTTGTCTTTTTTCAGCTGATGTTTTTGGTTTTGTTGTAGGACAAACGTTTTCGCTCAAAGTGCATCAGAAGTCAGCAAAATGCTACTTCACTTCCATCCTTCTCTATGTAAATTTTTAGTCACAATGCAGTCCAGAAGTGAAACAACTATTTTTAACTTGTCATATCTCTGAGATAAAATGTAAAAAAAAAAACTAAATTTGAACCAATCTCTTCTGTCGCTCACAGTTTAAGAATTTTTTCAATAGACCTTATAGTTTTCACACAGCGTCTGGTTATTTGAACTACACTTTCAGCAGATTTGTTCCTTTAAGTGATGTGATGCAGATCTTATATGCCCCACCCTGTAATGGTTCACATGGCAGGATAATTGTCCCGAATTTTGGCCAGATTTTGCCCTTCCGACAACCTTAAGTATGCTCAGATTTTCGTTATAGCTCTAAAGACAATCTTATCAGATATTCCTGCTGTGTGTTGTGTTAAGGCTAATCTAGTCAGCATATAAGGATGTCAGGACCACCCCGACCTCAAATCAGGTATATTCAACACATTTTTTGGCCCGATATTGCAGAGTGTGTGGTGTTCACCTGAAAACAAACGAGCTTCCAACCTGTTGAATGTGACATAGTCGACTGTTGATTCCCGCCCCCTTCTCATGTGTTCTGACTTAAGCTCCCTCCCTGCCCAGGCTGCCTGCTCTGTCGCGAGTGGTTTTTGTGCATATGATTTTATGTTTCTGATGTAAATGTAAGATCAGAGCAACTTTTAAACTCATCTCTCCCGTTGTGTATTTCCAAGCTGCAAAAAGGTAGTGCGACCCTGTTGCGAATGGCCTGTTCACCTTGTTCCCGCATGTTTGTTATGTATGTGCAATTTTGTTCTACATTGCATCTCTGTTGTTATATTTTAATGACATTAAGGTTGACTCTGATTATGAAAAAACAAAGTGATGTAAACACAGAGGGGAATCCAAAATATAGAAGACATAAAAAACTGCCATGACTCACCAGAATGTCTGCTGGATGTTGTAGAGGTCATTTTGAATTGTTTATTCTCTGTTTAAATAGTCCAGAAACGATCAACGTTATTTCTTCCTCGTCTCAAGTGTTTATTTACTCAAAACTCACATCTGATCTCTGGAGGTCATGCAAGATTTTTCCTCTGACATCTGAATTCTTACGAGATCTCAAGAAGTCTTGTGTGATTTCACGTCTGACATCTAATTTTTCATGAATGAAATCTGTCTGTGTGTTGTACACCACACACTGTAAGACCAAACCTGTTACATTCATGATTTTTTATCCTCAAGTGAGGGGTCCCTCAGCATTTGAAAATTGTCTGACAATTTTAAAATCTTGCTATGTGAACCAGGCGTAACGACATCACAATCTGGCATTCAGACTGGCTGAGGCTGTTACTGGGCAGAGTAGCCTCATGAGTGACAGAACAAAGAGAAGCTTTCTGTAATTCAGCATGGCACCTAGATTGCTCAGCAGTTTTAAGACATACAAAGCTGAAATTTGGTGCGTTGGTAGCTAAGATCTAACTCAACACATTATGAATGCTAATCACATGTTTAAGCTATATCTGGTAATGCTAATGAAAGGCTCTAATTCAGCATTTTTAAGATTTGCAGAGCTGAAAATTGGTATAGTAGTAGCCAAGAACAAGCTTTGACAAATTCCGAATGCTAATAAAAATCCAAGATGGCCACCATAGCTGAAATGCAAAATTGGTCATAACTCTGCCATTTTTAGATATATAGCTGAAATTTGGGATGGTGCATCACAGTGATCACCAACAAACAATATATTCAAATATTTAACTAAATTGAACTGCATGTGGCAAGCCCTTTCATAGTTTCTCCAGTTTATCAGCTATTTTTCTATTTTTACCCAGTACAGAACTGGAAATGAAGTCATTGTCTCAAAGGAAATTTTGTAAATGATTAACTGAATTTTAGATCTAGTGTTGTGTTTCATACTTTCTGATCATTGCAATAATAAGGTTTAAAACAGAGAATGAGAGTTGGTGTGTGTTACTGATGTGTTCTCTTTGTAGCATAAACAAAATTTGGGTACATTCTAACATCTGATGTAACTGTTACCACCTCCACAATAACCAGGAAAAGACAAGAAGTTAAAAAAGTTGAATCATTAGGAGACGAGAAGAAGCTCTGAGTTGTGCAGAGTGTCTCTGCTTAGATTCAGCCTGGAACAGACTGGGCTGTTTTTGTTTGGTTTGGGATTTCTTATACAGCCCAAGACTTTTTTATTCTAAGGCCTGCTGTGCTGTGTGTGCTGGTGAAGCTGAAAGAAGTCTGATTCAGATATCCAAGTGGATATTTGCTATTATTTAGACTTCAATTTTTGAACACACTGATTTCTACAGTCTGTTTAAGATAGCATCTGTACGTTGGAACATGAGAGTCATTAGAATTGCCTATCAGCACAAATCTTTACAGACAGCCTGATGACTCTGTGTTAATTTCTGTGTTCTTGTTTATTACGATAAAYAAACTCGATGACTAKTCTACAATGCGCCTTTATTCTTTGAATCACGTATTTCTGTGCTTTGTTAAATAAATATTTTCCACAACACTCTGATCCTCCCAGCACTAAACTAGATTAGATGGTTAGATGATGCACATACAGTATACATCTACAATTCATCTCATTGATCTGCATGAAAAACTGGCTTCTTTTATTCTTGTTTTGTTTTGTTTTGTTTTGTTTTAGAAACAAACATCCATCCCATAAGATTAGCTGGATCAAATGAACCGTGCTCTGGGAGAATTGAAATATTCTACAACAACAACTGGGGAACAGTCTGTAATAATAACTGGGACACGAACAGTTTYAATGCTCAGGTGGCCTGCAGACAGCTGACCTGTGGCCCACCAACAGGGACCTATTCACAGGCTGTATATGGGCAAAGCACTGGACCAATCTGGCTTGATGACGTGAGCTGTTCTGGAAATGAAAGTTCTCTAAATGAATGTCAGCACGGGCAATTTGGGGAAAATAACTGTGTTCACAGTAAGGATGTTAGTGTCTCWTGTTCAGGTGAGAATAATTGTTTTGTTTATCAAAATATATGCAATTCTATATTTTACATAAACWTTGCATACTATAAAGATGATACATCCATTTTGGCTACTCAAAGATTCATAATTACACTGTGTTTGAAACTTTTTTGCCTCAATCAATGTTGATTTATTTGTTATTTTCTATTATTGACTGACAGGTACWCAAATCAGGTTACGTGGACCGTCTCAGTGCTCTGGACGAGTTGAAATTTATTACCGTAATGAATGGGGGACAGTGTGTGCTGACAGCTGGGACCTAAATGATGCTCAGGTGGTCTGCAGACAGCTGGGCTGTGGTACAGCTCTGGATGCCCCTCTTTATGCCTACTTTGGCCAAGGTTCTGGACAAATCTGGCTTGATTATGTGCAATGTAAAGGAAATGAAACATATCTGACAGGCTGTTCAAGCAGTGGACTTGGGATCCACAAGTGTGGGCACGGTGAGGATGCTGGTGTCATCTGTTCAGGTGAGAAAATGTTTTTTTTTTTTTCAGTATTACTCTTTTGTTTTGATTATTAGTGTTGCCGTTGTTGTTAATGGAGACCTAAACATAAAAGTAATAATCCATGTTGTGGCTATCTATCTCTGTGAAGCACATGCACATTGGCAGGGTGYGTTTCCTGGCAACACTTTCAATAAAAATCTGTGTCCATTCCTTGTTTGTTAAAAACTGCTTTTTGTATACATGCTTCTGTCCTACAATCCAGCATTTATGACGTCCATTCAGTGTGACACAAGTTACTATTRAAATTGTAAACAGCCTTTCAGCCTCCAATGTACAAACATCAAGCATATACTTTTTAGTCAAATTCATATTGTTTCATACAAAACTGGGGCCACCTCACTAAATTTGACAAGTTGACAGTTGTTAATCTTTGATATGTATATATACCATATGCATTATACCAATCTAATGATATTTCTATTACTGTATAATCTGTTYATTAAACTTTATGCTGTGTTGTTTTCCAACAGGTGTTAAGCCCAACATAACCATTGATCCTGAAGATGAGGTTGTGGAGGGTCAGTCTGTCAGCATTATTTGTTCCGTCTATGAAAAGCAAATAGAAGGAACATTYGTTTTCCTGAAGATCCACAATTCATTTAATCAGATTATAAACTCAAGTATCAAYTTAAGAACTTACAATATCCCTCGAGTCAGAGTTAGTGATGGAGGATTGTACAGGTGTTATGTTGAAAAAACTGTTTCCAATGAAAACTTCAGCACACCCCTTAGTGACCCTATCAGCCTAAAAGTGACTGGTAAGTTTGTTTCCTACTTTTTAAGACAACTAACATAAAATAACCTGATTACCCAAGAAATAACATTTACACTATTTTTCAGTAAACTCAGCGTCACGATGCCTCCCCWTGGTGGTGTTACCTTGGATCAGCTTGTTTCCATCGCTTGTGTCAAATCATCTCAAAATTTAGCTGGATTATTTGTTCTGCAGRGAACCTCGAGCATGTTCTGTGAGACACAAACATCAAGAACCAACTCTACTACTTTCAGAACTTTTCAAGTCAAGTCTGACCTTGAGGGGGATTAACAGTGTAAAATTCAGATAGTACCAGTGTCAGATAAAACTGCAACCTATCTTCYAATGTCATGATTTATTTTTACTGATGTTTAAAATAACGTTGCAGCCTTTTTTTAATATATAAAGCCTTGAATGTCTCCTCTGTGAGCATGTCAACACTCCAGACACACCACTGTGCAAACTTGTTTAAGCTTTACTGAAAAGTTTAATTTTTTTCTAGTACATCTCCTTTCAACCTCTTGTTTTCTTATACTGTACAAAACAAAATAAATAATTATACTCAAGAACAGTAGGCCTATATATGAAATGTTCTGTGTAAGAAAAATAGTGTGTGTAGTTGTTGAACATAACCTTGTTTTTGATCATTTGATTATACTAGTTATTACTATTAAACTATTTAATGGGATGCAAGCATTGGTGGTGGAACATTTTTTCTCAAGATGTACTTAATGCTGTGATCATTTTTGGGTATGTTTTTTAAATAAAAAATACCTTACTGACATCAAAATTGGTAAGATTTAGGCTTTTAATCAATGACATCAAAATATTTTGTATTTTTTTTAATCTGGTGATTTCTACTTGATGAGGCAACTGGATTTCTGTCCTTTAGCTGAAGACATRGAGTTCCAAGCTTCAAACTGGATGACATTGCTGTCAATAATATCAATATCTAGAAAGGATCCATCTGTAAACCTTTAATGGTGTAAATGTCAGATGAAATATGACAGTGGAGACAGCAGTTGCATTGAAAAACACTGGATATGCATTGGAAATAATCAGTACTACATATGACAAAGACATCAAATCAGAGAAAATCCAATTTGTCACATTCAGATTGTCAATGTGAAAACCGATATGGATCAAATATTATTTGGGTCCGTTTTGCCTGCAGTGTGAGTTTAGCCTCAGTCTCAGGCCATGGTTCTGAAYTGTAAAATGACAGAAAGCGCACTCCATTTGAAGATGAATTTTTGTCTCAAATTGAGGACTTCAAGTCTTGTTCCCAAATGATAGCACTAAATCTTATAACAGACGGACTAATGATTTAGGCCTTTGTCTACTCTGTTCTCATTTGTAGTGGTAAAGAAAAATGTAAGCTAAAAAGTAAAGCTTTCAATTTACTGCTTTGTCTCCTTTCTAAACCTTATGAGATGATCAGATACGGATCGTGACCAGACTTGGTCAAAAACACAAGCAAAGCCTGGAGGGGAGCAGTTCAGCTCAGATGGCTTCTTGCTGCTTCTTCACATCACACAAAGTCAGCTGAGGTGGTTGGATAACAAACATTTTTCTTTTATGGCTTTTTTTTGGCCCACGGGAGAGGAAGACCCTCAGCACTGCAGAGGGATTATATGTTTTACCTGGGATCCCCTTGGGAGGAGCGAGTCTGAGGTGATGAAAGACTGGGTGTCCAGCCTGGACCTGCTGCCACCACAACTCAAAGGATGGACGGATGAAKTCACTATTAAAGTTGATTCAGGATTTGTTCTTTGGTTCAGTGCAAGCAAATATTCACTTTTTGTTTTGTATACTTTTAATCAAGAAAAACATGTTTTAGTAGTTATAATCGACACAGTGTCTTGGTCCGTGATATCAACTGCATGGAGCATGTGTCAGACAAGAGGATTTGCAGTGGGTTTAAACTGTKAAGAAAACTAAAATCTTCCTAAAATAATGGCCTACGTCATTTTTTGTATGTATAATTTTTTTCAGGAAACAAAAACGTAACCAAAAATGTACAATATGACATATTGAGATTTACGGAGCTCGTCCGGTGACATGGAATAAAGAAAACTTATCACAAGGCCACGAGATGACGTGTCCCCATGCAATGATCAACGCGTGCTCACCAGAGGTGTCAAAAGTATTCACATTCATTACTTAAATAGAAGTATATGTATTAGGGTTTAAAATTACATTTATGGAAGCATTAGTATCAACTTAAGTTTTTTACTCAAGTAAAAGTACAAAAGTACTGGTTTTAAAACTACTTAAAGTATAAAAGTAAAAGTAATGAACACTTAAAAAAGCCATTAAGGATACAAGCTCAGGCTGCGCCACAGGGTTCTATAG